TGTAAGTACCAGGGGTTACTGGTACAAGATTGCTCATGTCTTAGGACTGAATTTGGGTCAACATGTGCCTCCTAGTTTGATCTCTTCTATTAGGAAATGAATGAGGACTGAGGGTAAGCCTACGGGAAAGAGAGTCATCAGCTGCCAAATTCACTTCAATTTATTTTTCATGTCTAGGGGTTTTGTGTGTGTGTGGTTTTATTAAACAAATCAATATAAACAAGTTCTGCAGAGAGAAACACCATTTTTTTTTGGCCAGAAAAAGGTCTCCATCCAGGAAAAACACATGGGGGCTGTCCAAATATTTTCATTTTTGCACAATAAGGTCATTTTGTCTGCATGAGCCTGATTTTCTCATTTCTTGCAGGTGAACAGGCCTCTGACCATGAAAAAGGAAGGAATTCAGACCAGGAATAGGAAAATGTCCAACAAATCAAAGAAAAGCAAGAAAGGCTCAGAGTGTTTTGAGGAACTGTCCAAGTGCATGCAGGAGAAATCGTCTCCCTTCAGTGCTGCTGCCCTTGCTAGTCACATGGCGCCCATGGGGCATTTGCCACCTTTCAGCCACTCTGGACACATCCTACCAACACCTACCCCCATCCACCCATCTTCCAGCATCTCATTTGGACATCCACACCCATCCAGCATGGTTACAGCCATGGGATAAAACCAAAAGACCGACCCAGAGATTAAGAACATGGGGCTTTGCCTAAGATGACACCAAGTAAGAAAATGTTCTGCCAAGAAGAGAATGTAGGGATGGCAAAAGGGGATCTTTGCTCCCATGTGGTTTAACTCTTAATGCTGGACTAAAACCTTGCAAATGATGGGTCTTCTGCAGAAACATGTAGTGGTGCCTGTAATGCACTTTGCCCCCTCAGGTATAAGGAAAAAGAACTCGCCTGTTTGATACTTAATGGTCCAGCAGGAAGAAATGGTGGCAGAAGCTGAAGGAAAAGGCTTGGAACTGGCTTTCCTTTCTCTCGTTGTTATTACTGTGAATATTGTAAAGAGATACAAGCAGCCTCGCAGGATGGAATTGGCTCACTGGAAGCCAGACATGCTGGATTTCTACTGCGGACTTTGTTTGGGATGGGGAAAAAAAGAAAAAAAAAAAAAGAAAAAAAAAGAAAAAAAAAAAAGGAAAACCAGAAAAGGACATCTTTATAAAACATAATTTTTAAAATGAAATCAGACACAAAGTTGTATTTATTTTGCTCTTGTTTTCCACAAAAAGCCTCAACCCCTCTGCATGTTTTCATGCTGTTGTTTGCAATGGCTATCCTGCAAGAAAACCTGCCTTCAAAACAAGGAGAGGGGGAAATATATTCAGCAGCCCCCTTGGACTAGCTCCATCCATCTTCCGTACCAAAATACCAACGAGGAAGGGGGAAAAGACGGGGAAACAAAGCAAAAATGTAGCTGTAATATGGAATTTTAATGTGCCCAAGATGGTAATTATTTTGACACAATTTGTTCATTCTTTTCCCTAACATGAAAGATTTATTTAAAAAAAACCCAGCCCCCCCCTCCCAACTACCCTATTATTCCTCAAAACAGCAGCTAGATCAGACAAACTGTTCGGAAAAAACTCGGGAAGGCAATCCTGCACTAACATGGGATGAGATATAGGCATTTGCCAAACTGTGTCGCAGCTAAATTCTGGCACAGCAAAAACCATCACCGGGCATAAAAACATCCAACTCACAGACTTTAGAGGTTGAAGCATTTTGTTCTGTTGTGTTGGCAGCTGTCGCTTAAAAATGCAGATTAGCTGCTTGGGTAAACTTACGGCAGCGTGGCCACCACGTCCACACGCAGCCAGGCAGCAGCCAGCCAGTGTGTGCGCTGTCTCGGCATCCAGGCCCCGATGGACTTCACAGGGAGGAAGGGCAGAAATGAGGTTGAGATCACTGGAGAGGGGAAAGAGAGAGACAATCAGTTTGAGCTTCACACATCTGTCAAACCCCAGACACAGCGACAGCTGATGAGACAAGGGAAAGCACCTTTCTAAGGGGAGCGTCCGTTTTCCATAGCGTATTTTATATGAAAAAAAAAAAAAAGGAAAAAAAAAAATTAAATCGCCCATTATTAAACCATATTGTACGTAAATGACTGAAAACAAAGCTATTGCCAATGTGAAGTGTATTCTATTGATTGTTATGATCTGATGCCTCTCGTGAACACAAGCTCCAGTATAACATACAGTGTACATATTTAGCTATACTTCTGATGAAAATGCCCCAATGAACAGAGGGGTTTGATAATGTAAACCACGTAAGCTTAACTCTGTGACAAGCTTTTTATTTTTTTTTTTTTTTAATTTTTAATTTTCGTTTTTGGGGGTTTTTTTTTTTTTTTTTTTTTTTTTTTTTTTTTTTTTTTTTTTTCGTTCAAGCCTATTTATCTTTACCGCAAAAGTCCTGCTTTTTAAAGGAAAAAACACAACGAAACAAAAATGGATGTACATTAATTTTTTTCCAAACATGTAATTAAAATATTTGATAATGAATTAAGAACCATGCAGCCATGAAAATCCTGCTTTCCTCCTTTTTCTGGTCTGTGTAGGCATATAGGTGCACTTTGTAAAGAAGTGGAAATAAACAGGAAACTAAATTGGTTGGGAGAAATCAAGAATTTTTAATCTACTGAGGTAAAAAATTGGGTCCTTTTTACTTTCTACCTTTTACAATGGTACAGTTGTACATTATTTGTACCCAACTCAAAATTTCTGTAGGATTTGGGCAAGGGAGGTGGGGAAGGGACGTGGGTGTGAGACAGGGATTACTGATACAGTTGACAAAGTGCAATATATTGTCAGTCACTGCAGCATAGACAACGGCAGTTGAGATTTAAATTATTTTGTACTTGTATCAGCATAAAAAAATTCTTCAGTATTTTCTGTTTTTATTTTAATTTTTATTTTGCTTATTTTTGGATTAGTGAACTAAGTTATTGTTAATTATGTACAACATGTTTATATATTGTCTGTAAAAAGTGTATGCTTTCCTCATATTCCTTCAAGGTGAATATTGCTAAGAATAATAAAATACCTTTTTTGTGAAAGTACCTGTGCCCAGCTTCATGTCATAAAGGCTATTTCTAATAGAGAGAGAGAGGAAAAATTATCGTTGTCATTGTTGCAAGTAGAATTATTAACTCAAACTTTATGCAGAGAGGTTTATTGCTATTTCAAAAACCTACCAGGGTAGGACAAAAAAGGTAGTTGCTGAATGATTTAGTATAAAAAGCACAGGCACAAAAGCTCATTCTCTGGTGCTGTTTTTGGGGTGATGAGGTCACACAGTTAAGTATGCTGAAGTTTCTAAACCAGTTTAAAATCTAAGGCAGCAGCCACGTTGCAGATGGCTAACTGCAGCTTCTCTTTTTTTTTCTGTTTTTTTTTATTTTTTTTTTTTAAAGTTTTTGGAGAAATACTTTTCAGTTAAAAACAAACTTTAAAAGCACCGTAAACGTGGAAAAGCAGCCAGCTGCCTAACGGGTTTCAAGGCAGGATTGTATTAGACCAGGCAAAGTTCTCCGTAGGCTCTTGCACTGCTGTAACAGGTAACACCCGGAAACTTGTTTCTTGCCATTCGCCATCACCCATGGCACGGAGGGAGGAAGGGAGGATGGCCAGCCTGGAGCTGCTCAGTCCTGGGAACTGCTGGCAAGGGGTACAGCTGTGGGTGCAGGGGGGTGCGCATGCAGGCTGGCATGTGAGGATGGAGGAGAATCAGCTCTCCCATGGCCAAAACATTGTGGCTACTTTCATCACACAGTCAAGTTTGACCCACACAAGGAACTCCTTGGGGTCTTACAAAGTGAAGCAAAGTCTTGCAAAGTCCCCCTGTCCTGTGTGGGGATGAGTACTGCTGCTATTAAAACAACATTTTCAAGAAAATTGTTAATGAACTTTGGGTTTCCTCCTTTGACCCCCTGGGAGTTACGTCTCACTTCTGTAGAAACCAACTTGGGGATAACTCCTTACTCATTAAGAAAAAAAATAACCCGAGTTCCTTTTTCAGCATGCGTGTGCAAATTCCAGCCCTTTCTATCACTGTTTCTCTGCCATGCAGCCTCCTCTCCAGCCATGTTCGCAAGCCCTGCTCGTGAGTGAGGAGTCGCAGCAGCTCTAGATGTGCTGAAGAAAGCACACGCAACCAGGATGAGGCCTTCCCGCATCATTTCAGACAAGTTAATCATCTCTCTAACTTGTTTAGCGAGGCTTAGTGCAAACACCCATTAAAAAAAAAAAAAAAAAAAAAAGTTTATAGCATACCGTGCAAGCTTTGTTTGAAAATAAACATGTTCCTTTTCAGACAGGTTTAAAACAGGGTTATAACTAAACTCAGTCACTCTCCCTCCATATTTGAATAGCTGAGATGAGGAGAGAACAGGAGAACTAACAACATCACTTTAAAATAATTTAGAATAATCAAGCTATTTTCTTTGGTTGCACATTACACAACTGTTCAGGCTTTGATGAGAGCTTACCTTGGTGTTTCTTCTCTGCAGGCGTTTTGCCTGGTTGGTCCAATCCACTCGCAGAATCAGGGCCATAATCCATCAGCTTGTCAGGAGGGGTGCTGCAGCCCCCCAGAGCCTGGAGGAGCGCGCCTCTTCTGAGCGGGGTCTTCAGTGGTTCCTGCAGCACAGATAACAAATAACCCCACGTTTGTCAGGTGGCACTACTCTGTGAAAGATCAAACCACCTCTCTCCAATGTGTGTATCATGTTTGTCTCCAGACATTTTACATAGCAGAAGAAAAGCAAACAGCAGGGAATGGGAATGGAGCAAGTGTGTAAAGTTCAACGTAAAGTGTAAGCACAGAGCAGATATTGAGGCAACAAATTGGGATTTATGGTCCTTTTGCTATCACCAAACAATGGGGGACAGGCTTTTTGTGAGGGAGGAACCCTGACATTACTTGCCTTTGGGTTCCGTTGTTGGGATTATTGTTTTAAGCCGTGCTTAATTGTCATGTCTCCACGGCCACATCAAAAGCCAAGGAGATTAGGTTACAGGGAGTGTTTGATGTCAAAATACAAAATAAATAAAAGGAAAGCTGAAAAGGTACTGTATTTTCCATGATGTCTAGTGAGGCTTTTGCTTCAAACATTTTTTTTTTTTTTTTTTTAAATTTGCAAAGATTGCACTTTTAGTGACAAGATTTCACTCACTTATCTCTAAATGACTCCAATGCTTTCCTGCAACAGCTTGAAAGGGTTAATATCCCCTCTTTGATGGCAAACATGGTATAATTAACGCAAACTTCTTAAGTATCCTGGTGACCTGTAGATGGCCACATGAGAATTTTGTTATTTACTGACTTGCCAAACGTTTATTGCTTATAGCAGGACAAGTGGGAAGGAGGCATTAATTTTGATGCTGTTATCTGTGATTGCGTGCAAAGTTCATAGCAGAAAGTGCCTATATGTCAACTGCAATTAAACATTTCCCTATATATTTTTTTTTTAATTAATTTCGTGTTGGTGGAGGGGACTGGACTGGCAGCTTTGCAAACTGAAATCCTGCCCATCCACAGAGCAGGCATGACACAGGCAGACACAGGACAACTTCCCCTTACCTGCAGGCTGCAAAAGAAAACAGTCTGGCACCATGGAGCATTTGATCCTTGGCTTCTCCACAGAGACAGTCAAATCAGTACTAACTGTGGCAGGGCACAGAGGGAGATTTTTGTGGTGTGACATCTTCCTATGGAAACCAGCCTGAAAAACACCAAAAATGAAGCCGAAAGTGGCTATCAGGTGAATTATGTTCATTTATCACCAACCTGGACTGGATTAGAATGCGTGACCTAGAAGTAAAATGCTTTGTTTAGCCCGACTCCCTAGGCCATCTGGTCCTTGCAAGTAAACATTTCTAAGTGAGATTAAGTGACTATTCTTTAAGCATGGTGATATGAGTGCAAACCAGGCTGCTCTGGATCTAACAGATCAAACCTCAGCATCAGAGCAGCAGGCTGGTGCCGATTCAGAGACACCATTTGCTTGAGCAGCTTTGGGTGCAATTCTCCGTGGTGCCTGCTTTGCAGTCAATCCTGACTCAGTCTGATGTGCCCCTATCA